CTGAATGTCTACTCAATGCACTACGTAAATAAATAAGCTGTTGTTTAAATTACTTGAGGAGAAATTGAGCATCTATACAGTGAACCAAAGGCTATATTCATATTAGGGTAAAAGGTTTATAGTTCAAATTCTACAGCAGAACTTCACAGAAGAGTTAAGTTACAAAATGGAAAACACTTACTAGGTCATTCAGTCCAGTTCTAATGCCAAAATGGAGTCATTCCCCATAGTATTTATTTTTAGTGCTTTTTCCAGCCTAATTTTCAACCCTGTGCAATGTGACTTAAGAACTTCCTTTGGGACGTTATTTATTTCACTGATTAGCATATTACATGGCTACGATTTTTAAAAATGATCTTCAACACTTCATTTGGTGGGTTTTGTTTCTTCTTTGCTTATCTTCCCCCCTGTGCTCTCAGAAGGATGAGAGCACCTTTTACACTCTCTCCCTAGCCCCAAATAAATACACATACACACACATGAGTCTTTCATAAATCATTTCCTCCAGTTGCCAGGCCATTTTTGTTGCTCTTCTATAAACAACACAGCAGTACTTTGTTTCCATATATAACCTCTATTTGTGTGCTGAAACATCAGAGACACTGACCTTTAGATCAGATATCAAACTGAGACTCCTTGTGAATGTTCAGATAAATGTAAAAGAGTCTTTGGACTGTTCTAAAAAAGAAGAAAATGTTATTAGCATTGCCTCTGTAGAAAAAGAATGTAGTATCTAAGTATCTGCCAAGTGTATAATAACCTGACTGTGTGTTTTTATCACCAGTTCCCACACTGGTCTGTGGATCACTGGCAGTCTGCAACGCCATAATAAATTATCCACAACTAATCCACAGAGATAGCAGTTTGTGCACATCAATTAAAAGTTTATCCACAAGACTATGCGATAAATTCTGAGGATTTTAACGATGTGCTAACCCAAAATTTTCAGATCAGTATGTTAAATTTCCCAGGGACTGCTGTCGAGTCTGCTGTAAGGAAACTCTTTATGTGCAAAACGTTGCATACAAGAGAAACGTCACCTATTGTTTACCTAATCGATCTGGCAAGTAGGAACTTGCAATAAGTTTTTGTCCTGTGCTCAGTGCCCGGTTAAGAACCGTGGGACGGTGTCACCGTCGTGGGCGTGCTGTATGCGATACGGAAAACGTCTGCACACACGCGTACCTCTGCGACAGGAAACGCAAGAACAAAGGGTGCGGTTGGAAGAGGTCGTCTGAGGGGAGGTAGCTGAGACTCAGCTGCAGATGACGTCAGATGTGGCGTCCTCATTTAGACATTACTACACCTTGCAGTTCGCCCTACTAGCGGACGGGGGCACAGGCAAGGGTGGAAAACAGCCCTTCCCGTACTTGTAGGTGAGTAAGTACTCGCTGCGGCCCTTACTTCCCCCCTACGGGCGCAGGTATTTCGGGGGACCAGTGCTGAGACTGACCCGCTAACCCCGCAGTCAGCGCCGCTGCCAGCCGCACACCCCCGACCAGCCTCAGCCAATGAGAGCGCGGCAAAGCGATTTCTGAAGAGCTGATTGGTCACTGCCCGATCCCCGCCCAGAGTGCTGGTGGGCGGGGACGCAGGGCTGGGCGGGGGAGCTGGACCGGGAGAGGGGGCCGGGCATAGGGTGGCCGCTGTGCAGAGCTTCGCCCGGAGGAAGCCTGGGTCTTCGTTAGCGTGTATGATGAGTGTCTGGCGAGAGCAGGAAAATGAAGAAGGGTAGGGGCGGACGGGGGGTGTGAATGGGAACGCGTTGGGAGTATTAGTGGTCTGCAGCTGCATTAATTAAAGACAGATTTCCTATTTTAGACAAACATCACTAATTTGTTGGCCCTCTGCCTTGTAAAACGTTCATGAATGCAAAGTTGTAGTTTAATTTGGCAAGCGGTCATAAATGAAGGCGAAAATAAGTCACACGCTGGTCACCGGCCTCCTTCTGCACCTGGGGCAGTTCCTCCTGGGTAGGATGGTATGAGGTCAGTGGTCTTTTTGCAGCCATTCCTGGGAATTGGGTTCTGAAGAGGCACCACTGGCCCTCAGGCTGTTCTGCCACAGAAACGGGTGAATAAAACGGGTGAATAAAGCTTCCGCAACTCACGTAGTGCCTTGGAGTGGCTCCTTCCCCGTGTAGCCGTACACAAAAGCCAGGAGGTAAAAGAGACTCAGCTCTGAATTTTGTCACAAGCCCATCATCTGGCAGCTCTGGCTAGAGAAACGTCTCTCCCACTGACAGCCGCTTTTTAGAAATTAAAGTGATGATGTAGCGCAGATAAAGCAGAGGCATTTTTGCAGTCTCTCCCAGCGGCTGTTCTTTGGCTAGTAAACAGACCATCTATTCAGAAGCAGTTTTCTTTGGGCTGAAATTATGTGCTGACCGTAGCAGATCGCTTCCCATAATACCCCTTTCCCCCACCCACTGCTAAATACAAACTATCTCCTACTCACTGTATAATAATGTGAAAATGACTGTAATTTTGCAGTCCAAAGTGAAACATGTCTAAACAGAGGTCGATATTGAAAAATCAGGGTCATTACCTAAATATGAAAAACACATTGTAAAGAAACAGGAACTAAGTAAACTAAACACAACTAACTAAACTAAACTAACTAACTAAACTAACACAACTAAGTAAACTAAAAAAAAAAAAAAAGTAGGCCTGGCGTTGCTGACCTGAACATTTTTGCTTAACCAGTTGAGTAAAATCACCCAAAAGTTATCCCGGGGAATCCGTGATTTTCAGTACCTGTAACATCAGCACGATCCTGTGTGTTCCCCAGCCTAAACTGCTAGTGCCTAGTCACGAGTGGGCCTCACCAATGCTCCAGCCGTGTCTGCAGCCCCTTGCTGAGCTCCTTCCATCCCATAATCCCAGCGTTGTCGGAAGGCCACGGCAGGAAGTTAGGGACGCGTTTGCACCGTGGCGTTTCTCGTCTGCGCTACTCATACTCGGTGCTTCTATTTTTCATTAAAGTTTGTTTTTTTTTTTTCCCTTTGTAATGGCTTAAAAAATTAATGTGATCCAGGACTTCCCTGGCAGTGAACTTCCCCGGAGCCGCTGAGGGGGAAGTGTTTTTACACCGGGAGGAACGGAGCTGGTTGTCCCCGGGCTGGCTCAGGGCCCCACGAGGGAGTGCGTCTTGGTGCCCTCGGGGTGATGGTGACCTGAGGGCAGCATTCCCCCAGGGACGCTGCTCACGGTGGCTTTTACCCCCACTGGCCTCGCCCCCGATCTTGTGTGTCGGCCCCCAGTGGCCGGCAGCGAGCACGCTTTGCCCCTCCGGTACCGCACCGTTAGGCGACGAGGGCACCTCGCGTCCCGCTCGGCTGGAGGAGGTACGAAAATGCGTTTCCCTACCCTGGCGCGGGTGTGCGGAACGCGGTAAACGCTACCCTGTGACTTCCCTACAGACACCCTGACCTGGGCAGCGCGTGTCTGGCAGGGAAAAAAATTTTCACGGGGAAATCAAGGGAAAAAGGGGAAAACCAGGGAAAATGTAAGAAAGAAAAAAGCGCTCAGGGCCATGAGAGCTATCGGAGCCCGACCCCCGGCCCGGCGGCGGGCAGTCCCCCTTTCCCCTTCCACCACCCCACCCTCCCGCCTGCGAAGGGTTAAACGCAATTTAACGCAGTGGTGTAGCATAATGGCTCCCAACCTAAACAAAAGGAATGATTAAGGGGGATATTTTCGAGCCACACAAAGCCCGATAGGAAAGATTTGTGTTACTAATTCCTGTGAAAGTATGGTCGCGCGGTGGTTACAGGGTCGCCGGCATTCACACCACAGCACCCGCAGCCGTAAATCAGGAGCCCGGAGACAAAAAGGCTATGTTCTGCCCCCCCCCCCCCCCCCCAAGGGGAGAGAGGGGGGGGAAGAAAGACTAAACCTGACCTGCACAACTTAAGTCATATTGTAAGAATGAACATGATACAAAAGGGTTGGGGGGGAGGGCATGCAAGGGTTAAGGGCTGGTCTGGGTGCTCCCCCACGAGCAGGGCTTCGGCCCCTTCCTCCAGACAGTGCTTGCTTTTTTCCTCCCCTAAGCACGAAAATAATTGTATGTGTACCAGCAGCCCTCTCTCGCTGGCTACAAGCTGTTATAATTTTGAATGAGGGGCATTTAAAAATTATGAGTGAGGTTCTAAATTGCCTCTGAAACCGGCACAGAAAAATCATTTATCATCGCTCCGAAAACTGCCCTGAAATTAAAAAGAAATGAGGGAGTCTTCCTCCCAACGTGTGAGTCTTGGCAGAGATACTCTCCACCCTGGTTTTCTGATTTTTTGCCCCTCCTTCCTCTATCTTTTTTCCTTTTTCCTAAGCCCTAAATGTTATATGAGGTAATTGAAAAGGAAACATGATTTGTATCTGGCTGCAGCGAGAGGCTGCCCGCTGCAGCTCGGCGCAGGCTGAGGGCTGGAGAGCGATGGGAGAGGGTTTTTCTTGGTGGGGGTGAGGAGAAGAGGGATTGGGGGGGGGGGGGGGGGGCGTGTAACGCCTGTGTGTACAGTGTGCGTGTGTTTCACCCTCGCCGGCAGGCAGGAGGAGCGGCGGACCAATCAGAGAGCCCAGTTTCATAAAAGCTGGCTTCTGATTGGCCGGCAGGGTAAGGGCATTGTGAACAAAGAAAAGTCCCTCTCAGGTACCGCGCTCCCCTGCCCCGGCCGCCCCGCGGCCCCTGCGCCCGCCGGCCAGCCCTCGAGGGGCCGTTGCGGGTCCTGCCTTCCCGTCTCACCAGCCCCCGCCGCCGGGTTTGCTTTAATTTCGCTTATAGAGAGAAAGGAAGGTTCACGGTTATCTGGTGCTCTCTTCTTCCAAACACAATAAATCTGTTGGAAGATAGTAGGGTGTTTTTTTATTTTTCTTCCCTAAAATAAAAAGCGGCTGCAACAAAAACACAATGTTAGAAGGAAAAGGTCAACTCGATCCAATACAGACCGTAAGTACGGTTGCGTGGTGTGTCTCTAGCACTTAGAGGGGATTTTTGTGTGTTTTTTTTTTTTTTTTTCTCTGCAAAGGGGAGTGCTAAAGAGTTCTGGGAGTTGAGACAACTAAGGATGTATTTTTGGCTTCTAAAAAGAAGACGAAGGAAAGAACAATCCCACCAGCAGAATGAGTTGAGGGAAATAAGAGGGCGAGAGCGCTGTAGCCACACAAATCGTACTTGACGGTGCACTTGGGGGGGCGTAAAAGCATTGTGCCTTTCTCCGGTATTAGCTATCCAGGCGGGAGCGGTTCCAGCGACACAGCTCCTGACAAGAATGCGCCCCACTCGTCCGGAGAGCGGTGGGCGCGGGCAGGGGGCCGCTGAGGGGTGGTGGTGTTGAGCATTCCGGAGCGAGAGCCCCGGGACACCGGGAGTGCGGGTGGTTTACCTGGAGCGCTCCGCCGCCTCACCCCCAGGACGCCCCTTCCCCCTCTCTCGACGGCGGGGGGAGCGTGGCAGTGATTCCCTCCCCTCGCGGTGTTGTGCATGTGCGGGGCCGCCCCGCGCTGCCGGGACACGGCTTGTCACCCGTTCCCGTTCTCACGACAGCCAATGGATCCTGACGGCCTCACGTGACTTTGTAACGGAACCGCCGCGCCTCGGGGGTTGGCCGCTGCTGCCGCGAGCGCCCCTCCCCCCACACCCTTTGCCTTCACCCCTCCTCCCGCCGTCCGCCGCCGGCAATTCATTACGGCTTTTAGCTTCCCATCGCCGGCTAATTAAAAAGACTAAGCTAAAGCTCCGAGACAGTCTGACTTGGGGAGGGCGGGGGGCCTGGAGCAGGCTGCAAGGTTTGCCAAGACAAGGTGGGAGCGATCTATACTGGAAAAAATGTCGTCTGCTTTATCTCCTCGGACTCTAATTACCGAATTACTTACCGCGTGACTGATTAGCCCTAGCTCCCGGGGTTTTTCGTTATTATTACTATTGTTGTTTATTTTCCGAGATAGCAATCTGAAACTGTCTATGCTTTTTTCCCCCTTCTTTTTATTGTTACTATTTTTCAAAGCGCTGATTGAGGCGAGTTGGGGGAACACGGGGACAGCAAACACCCCCCTCCCCAGCCCCCCACCTCCTCTGAAATCGTATTTATGGGAAAATATACTTCGTTAGAGAGCACGCTGACCTTCCCCCACTCCTACAAAATGTTTTGATAACCGGTTTATCAGATCAGTGGTTCCCCCCCTCCCGCTCCTCCTCCTCGCTCCCCCTTCGTCTCTCCCTCCCCTCGTTTCCCCTCAAGTTATTTCAAGAAATCAGATCTGTCAGGACGGGCGAAAAAAATGCCACTTCCCAACTAACAGGCAGAATCCAGCCCAGATTTTCAGTCTTTTCTTCTTTTTTTCCTTTCCCCCTTTCACTAATTTATCCCGATGTTAGCACATTCTGTCTTGTAACACCCGGGCGCCTGTGGGTTTGTTTCATGGGATCATTACTTACTGATGAGGATGGCTCCCAGGTCCGGGGCTGAAGACGGAGTGTGAAGTTGGGGAAACAATTTTATTTTTTTTTTCTTTTAAATTACTGTGGTGATTATTACCTCTCGGTGCTTATTCAGGAAAAGCAAACAAACAAAAACCTGGTCCTTGATGCTTCAGTTCTGAATGTTGCCTACCACCTGGTAAAGTTGTGAGGCTCATCTTTTTTTTTTTCTTGGTCTTTAAACAAGGAGGGGAAAAAAAAACCAACCCTAAACAAACAAACAAAAAAAAGGACTTCTGATCCGTGTGCCAAAGTAGGGGGAGATACGTTACTGACCGATTTATACTGGCTGAAATGATACTTGCGCTCTACTTCTTGATCACTTGCTCTTTAAGTAAAATGAGGCACAGAGCTGTTGCTGAGACGAGTGGGAACAGCATTTTGATTTGCTGGTTTAATTAAAAAATGATAAAGGATTAAAGGTAAGCATGCATATATATGTATAAATATTTCGACAGTCGACTCTAGAAGGGAGAGATCCCTTTAAAAATCGTTTTAACTAAGCTTTGTCAAACACACACTCATTTGCGGTCACTGAGGCCACCTTGGTGCAGATCACTTAAAGTGTATGTCTTAATCAGTTTCCTGTACAGTCAGTAATACTATATTTAACAGACCTAGCAGTTGTGTGACCTAGGAGTACATTAGAACTGCTTTTAGAACTGGTACCTCGAGAATACAGTTGTTTGTTTTTTTTTTTTTTTTAAGAAAATAAACATTTTTTTTTAACCTATGGAGTTTAATATTTTCAGTAAACGTTTGTGTTTGTACGTTGTTGGTGTTTAACAGCAGCTCTATTGTGGCAAAGAAAATGAGGTTTCCCACTTCCTTTAGCGCTCCCTCTCCCCCCACCCCAAGAAATTTAAGTGTAAGGGGGGTAAAAGATAATACAGGAGAGTCACGAAACTTCAAGGGTCTGGTTTAAAGCCACAAAATCCATGGAATGCAGCAGAGAGTGAATCTCTATTCTTTTTTTTTTTTTTTCCCCTCCCTTTTGTGCCTAGGTGGTGGTCCAACGGGTTAGATTACAACATGTGCTCCAACAGCTAGGCACCACTTCTAAGACTCTATTTCCTGAGCTTTGTGGATTTAAATACTAGAGTTTGGGGGGGGGGGGGGGGGGCTTTTGTTTGTTTGTTTGTTTTTTTTTCCTTTTTGTGCACATGACTTTTTAAGGCAGGTTGTGGGTGTTGGCATGGAAAGTAGATTAAAGATGCTCACTATAAAAGCATCACAGCCATTGCCTCCCATTTAACAAACCTGAGGGAGAAATGTGTCAATGATGAATAATTTTGACCACCCCTACCTCGCCCCCTTTTTATTAGGCCTATTATATTCTCCTTACACTCAGACAATAAATACTCGACTTTTCTCCTCCTCACAGGGCAAGGTGGACGTGGACTGCAGGTTGTGAATGTAGACAACCCTGGGGGAGGAAGACAAAAAGAGTTGAACCTAAGAGAGCCCAGTGGAGATAAACGAATGTCCTCACCTCTCCGACAGAAAGTTCATTGGATTTTGACTCTAGAGATCTCATCTTCAGGATGTCATTGAACACTTCTACTGCAGGAAAAGGTGTGGATCCAAATGCAGTTGATACTTATGACAGTGGAGATGATTGGGAAATTGGTGTTGGGAATTTAATTATCGATTTGGACGCTGATTTGGAGAAGGACAGACAGAAACTTGAGATGAATAATTCTACTAGTACCACCAGCAGCAGCAACACCAGCTCCAAGGATTGTGGGGGTCTGGCTTCCAGTGGTGCTAATACTACCTCAGCCTTAGCTGATGGCCTAAAATTTGCTTCTGTTCAGCCATCAGCTCCCCAGGGGAATTCCTCTCACAAAGAGACTAGCAAATCAAAACTGAAAAGGAGTAAAACTTCTAAGGATGCTAATAAATCTCTGCCTTCTGCCGCCTTGTATGGGATTCCTGAGATCAGCAGTGCTGGCAAGAAGCAGGAAGTCCAAGGGCGCCCTGGAGAGGCAACTGGCATGAATTCAGCACTGGGTCAAAGCACGAGCAGTAACCCAAACAGCAATAACACCACCAGCAATAGCACCACCATTGCCTCTTGTGTGAAAAACAAAGAGGAGAAGCCAGGTAAAGCTGCCCCAGGTAGCAGAGGCTCCAAGAGGGATAAGGATGGGGGAAAATCCAGGAAGGACAAGCAGCATGACCTGCAGCAGGGCCATCCCAATGGCAGTGGGGGTGGCAGCAGCCAGGCTCCCCCTGGGCATCTCTATGGCTTCGGGGCCAAGGGAGGCGGTGGTGGAAGAAGCAGCCCCTTCCAGTGCACCTCCTCTGCCATGGGGGAAGTGAGCAAAAGTACCCCGGATTCAGGACTACTGGGAAATTCTATTTTGGTAAAGAAGGAAGAGGAGGAGGAGGAGAGCCACAGGCGAATCAAGAAATTGAAAACAGAAAAGGTAGGACAAAGCTCCTCTCCACATCTGCTCTTCTGTGTGTCCCTGTGTCTCTAATAACAGCCCAACAACTGTGTTTGGCTCCTTTGTCCTCTTTGGTGTATTTGTGATACACGTATGTTCTTCCAATTTCCCTTAAAAAAAGAAACACCGAGACCTCTTCCCTAGACAGAAGACACCATGTTCTGAGTGTACTGCTCTTCCTTACCTTCTCTCCCTGTCCTTGGACACTGGAGAATGTTTATGTTCTGGCTGTTCCTTTTGATAGCACTCACCCAGAAGGAGAGACCTGGAAATGGCCCTGACTGAGCTGTCCCTGGTTTTAGCAGAGGCAGCAGTGTTGGTACCAATGGGATGGCACATGTTTGCAGGGTGGAGATCTGTGTCTTTGGCAAGGGGGGTGCATAGTTTAGGCTCCAGGAGCAGCAAGTCCCTTATTGTGCTGACCCTTTTCCACAACACCAGTGGGCATTCATGACTCTTCTCTCCCGGAGTCTAAAGGGACCCTTCTCCCTCCTCTTGTCTGAAGCTGAGATTGTGCTTAGGGGGCAAAACAGAAGGCATTGCCAGAGACCCGGGCTCCATTGTTGCTTTTTGTTGGAGACACAGGGTGCTTATTGTACAGGGGGGTTCCTGTGGTACAACAGCAGCCCAGAGGCCCCAGAAGCTGGTGTGGAGAACAGGGAGGAAGGAGCCAGCAGACAGGCAGTGCCTCTCTTCCTCCTGGAAGGAGAGGGCTGGGAGGAGGGCAATTCACCTTGTGCTGAGATGTGTGTGTGCAAAGCAGCTTTCGGAACAGAGGGAAGCAGTTAGTCTCCTGTCTCGGGGAGCTTTCCTGTCTGAGACAGCTCTCAGGTGTGAGCTGCTCATTTATTGAGTGGTTGAAATGTATGAAAGAAACCCCATAAGTGTGTGGTTTTCTTCCTATTACATTATGAAGGATGTTTTCTGTAAGAATAGATGGCCATGACTCTTCTTTGGGAAGGGTGGAATGAGAGTTTGGCTTTTGTTAACTGCTGGCTCAAGGAGGTTCTGGTGTCAGTGGGAATTCTGCTGTCTGTAGGGCAGAAGGTGTCTTCTGGGAGACCTTGGGGCAAGTGTTTGCCCTGAGATTACGAGTCCTATGAATTCTACAGGTTGTAAAACAACGATAACCTGGTCTGCCTGAAAAATAAATTGTCTGTCTCCTTGCCCACTGAACGTTTCAGAGTATTAGATTGTGACTTTATTGTCAGCTGTTGCTCTTAAATTAATTGCTTTTACAACTTCCCAGAATGAACATTCAGTGATGGAAAAACTTTTGGGTCCGTGTTAACTGGATGGTCTGCAAGTGTCTGGGAGGGCTGGAGGTCGCAGGGAAAATTTATGTCTTTCTATGACCTGTTACTGGCTTTTTTTTTGTATTTTGGTCATGTTGAAGGCTTTGTACTATTTAAATTTGCTGGAGGATTAGATCTGGGTGTTTATGACATCTGATACTTGCTAAAACTGGAAAATAATTTCAAGGGCTTCTGTTCAAGGAAAGGAACAAATAAAATTTCATATTGTATGCATATTGCTGCTTTTAAAACAGCATATCTAGGGATGAATTTGAATGAGCCTTGTGACCTTTTCTAAATGCAGATGAGAGTCCAGGTTGCTGTAATTCATGTGTTTATGTTTGTGCTTTTTGATTTATGAGAAGTTCTGTGCGCGGCGAAAAGGTGTCCTAAAATCTCATGGTCTCTTGGTCTCTTTATTAATTTAGTACAGTAGGCATTTACTTCTGTTGCCAGTAGTCTTCAAATTGCAGTTCTCTAATCTGTTTTAACTATCTAGATAAATTGCCCTAATCCGCTCTTCACAATGGCTGTGGTTAAAGAGTCAGAGCCGTTTGATTGGATTCAGTGGCTGCCTGGAATGTGGGAGGTACTGCCCTTTTGCAACCCCCTTAGCCTTTTAATCTCTCAGCCAAATGTTCACATTGAACAATTTTGTTTAGCTGGCAATCTGAACATTTCAGGATCTCAAAGGCTGCTGTCATGGCAACAGAGATTAGAGGGTTGCGTGGTTTCTCCCGGTTTTGTGTTCTTTTAACTATGCTCACACAGGAAACTGCATGAAGAATCCCTATACACACCAGAAACCCTATGTACGATGTAAATGGGACGGCATGCGGATTGAGAATGAACATGTACGGAATACTCAGAGGCAGAGGTACGCGCTGTCTGGTGGCTCTTGCTGCAGGAGGAGGTTTGCAGCTTGCATTTCCAGCAACAGCCACTGCTGTTGGCACACACCGACTCTAACACAGACTTCACACATTAGAGTCGTGCAGTGTTGGCCATTGTCTGGCACAATAGCGTGCTTGCTTACTGTCTGAAGTAACATCCCGTAGGGTCTCACAATAATAAAGCTCGTTGCTGGCAATGGTTGCAACCTTAAGCACAGCCTGTGGCACTCTTAATAAAACTTAAGTGTATTATGTTTTGTTCTGGCTTTCTGACCCCAGATGTTTAATAATAATCAGAAAGATTTTTTATTCTTAGAAAGATTTCAGATTCATTAAGTGTTCTTGCTTTGCCTATACATTAGAACATATCTGCTGTACTTGGCACAAAGCAGCTTGTGTCTGTAGATAACAAGCCCACGTTTAA